CTAGTGTTAATTTGCCGTCTTGCTCGCCGCTCCACCGAGGCACACGACTGAAAGAAGCGTTTATGGGTTTGATATTTAAATGTAAACGAGGGCATTTGTCATGTATGCAGGCCACAGCGGACGTGTAGATCACACTCGCGGGTAAGTGGGATCCATCTGACATAATTTTGTTCCATGAATGGATGTAGAATTATGCAAAAGCTTGTCTGGCGAGTGTTTTTTTGTTTTTAGATGAACTGTCTTTGTCGATGAGCCAACATGGCTTCTGTAGAGAATAGTGGTTCGCGTTATTCTGGAATATTTGTAATGGAAAATAACTATATAGATAATAATGTTATATTACCATGTATCTGTTGTGGGGTTTATCAGTCCGATAATGTCATGGTCTGTAATTATCTGACAACCGTATTTGAGTTTTTGTGAAATGTCAGTGGTGTCTGCATCAGTCTTCATGAAGGTTTCTCATTATCATTAAAGACAAATTGCTATCTCCTGTGGATTTAAATTGCCGGATTTTATCTTATATAGAGCTATGTATTGAATGTCAAGTCACTTATAGATAAAGCTGTATTTGTTGAGAAAATCCAGCTTGTCTGCGTCATCCACGACACTAATGTTACACGACAGCCAAGTGAATGCTTTATGAGCAACTGTGGTCTGGTATGCCACATGCAGTGAAGATCTCATTTTTTGGTCCCGGCGGACGGAACTACTAGAGCTAATACAATGTTCTAAAACACTCTAAGAAGTCAACGAAAATAACTAGAAAATTAAAGCAAAGACAATTTTTTATTCGTACAAATGTTATAGTGATTTGAGCAACTACAGGCATTGTTCCCGTGGAGTACGTGACATGATGTGAATGCATCAATTAAACTAAATGCTTGAAGTCATATTTGGAACTCCGTGATGGGGTGTCTCAGTAGACAAGTCAATTTTTAGTGTTCGCTAGTCAAGCCAGAGACCCGGGTTCGATTTCTCACATGGGGACAATATATGAAGCCCATTTCTGATGCTCCGCCAGGATATTGCTGGTATAAAGATAAAAGCGACAAAAAACCCAAGATCAATGCGAAAGGGCATTATTCCAAAAACAGATGCTTAGTCAAATCTGAAGCACCTTCTATTTATTGCTGCAACTCTATTTATAATGCATAAATGTGTGAAGATGGTAGAAACGTTAGTTTTGACAGTCAACTCTGGATGTAACGAAGTCTTATATACCAACACATCTGTTATAACGAAGACTGTCATAATTCCTCTGGGACGTATGAATTAAATGTTGTTGCTCCAGTGATTAAGGATATTCGATACAGGTGTATTCAGAGGGGAGAGAGTGATGCAGGCATGAGCATCCCCCTTTAAAAACACACTTAACATTTATAGATTCGGACATTGTAAAGGTGTTGCAGCATGCTAAGAGTACGTGTTTAACAGCAATTAGATATTTGCTGAATATACCTTTAATTTACTGAACTTATATTGCACATGTCACTTATCATCGTTTTTGTACCATATCTTATGGATTGATTTGCAGTTTAAGATCCCGTGAGTTAAAAGTTTCCGGACCAGTTATACTGTTGTTCGTTCGCATTGTAGAGGAAAACGTGTTCTAAGAACCAACAAAAACAGGCCCCACCCTTTTCATATGATACTTCAGCGTAACATGGCATACATGGAATGATCTGAAGAAACATTGTTTCTACCACAATGTGCCATATACTGAAAACTAAAATTACGCTTCATACAATTTTCGGGTGATAGTGTCATTGTTAAAAGCTTTCCGTTGATCAGCATGTTTGTTGATAATTTTTAGAGCATCCTTTTTAAAAGTACATTAATCTTATTTTGTCAAGTGAATACTTTTGACTTATCAGAAGCATATCGAACTAAAACCCATTGAGGTACATACGAACTGATTATCTAATGCAACGAGTCTTTGTTTTCTGCACAGTGTCTCATTACATTCCGGTTTTGTAAAACAACCAAAATAGGAAACTAAGATCTTTTTATCCAAGTTATTCCTATATCTGTATGGATACAGATTTATATGATAGTCCATTAGTCAAGAAATAAATGACAAGAGGGAGTTGTTTATAGTACAATAAAACACTGTAGGGAATATATATTTTGAAAAATAAAACAAGGAGTGATATTAGATCTTAGATAAAAGGAAAAAAACAACATAAAACATATGATGAAATCAACTGATAGATACTTTCTTTTGCTCCTCAGTTTACAAATGTTCCGACGACAATAAGAAATGCATAATACCATTTTCTGGTCATAATGTAAATGTTAAAGGCCTACCAGATGCCGCATGATATCTAATATGTTTATCACTTAAGCAATTGAGTTTTAGGGCATTCTCTTTACAAGTATATTAACCCGTGAAGATCCGGCGTAAAATAAGTCTTCAGCAACCCATGCTTGCTGTAAAAGGTGACTATGCTTGTCGGAAGAGGCGACTAACGGCATCGGTTCATCAGGCTCGGTGACTTGTTTGATGCATGTCATCGAATCACAATTGCGTAGATCGATGCGCATGATGTCAATCACTGGATTGTCTGGACCAGACCGCCGGCATGTAGCTGTAATATTGCTGAGTGTGGCGTTAAACAACATACAAACAAGTATATTAACCTAATTTTGTCAGGTGAACACTTTTAACTTATCAGAAACATATCGAGCTCAAAACCATTCAGGTACACGAGAACTGGTTATCTGATTATATGATGCGATTGGTCATGCTCTCAATACATTTCGGTCTCATTAAACAGTGAGAAAAAGTAGAAGTTAGAAGATTCATGGATGCATTTAAGCATTGTTAGTTATTTTCAGTCACTTTTAGTCATTTAATCTAAATCATTCCTCTATTTGGATGGATACTGTCTATATGTGAATGCATTATATGAAGATGGACGCTATTGTTATCATTATCTCATATAGACTGGATCAAATAAATTTTTATTTCCCGGGCTTCGTTCCACAACACAACCTTTTTAATACAGTGTGGTCACTCCTGTATACGTCAGCATGGACATACGATAGACAGAGCACCGTCGACTTCACGGGAGTGTATACACTACATTAATAGAAATAGTGACGTGTGTCTCTTTTTAATGAATTCAGGCCGGAAGTCAAAATGTGGTATCTGACAGACAGATACGTTGCGTTTGTTCCTGCTCAGTATATGTTTCGAATAAGCTACATCAAGGAGAAAGTCTTAGTTTGAAGAGCGGTTAAATATCGATGGAGACTGAAAATCTTGGAAAGGATCATTAGAATGTTGTATGTCTTCCAGTAATGACGCTATCAATTCCTACCCGATCGATCCCCAAACAGGGGGTAATTATCTCACCGTTTGATATATCATTACGATGGTTAATATAATTTTGGAAGCCTGCTTTAAATCAGCTTTACCACTCCGTTAGCTGTCTGACAGAAACGGTCTTTCAAATTGCATTAAGTCCCAATTTACGTTTAGAAGACTTGAAAGTAGAGACCCTATAGATCGCTGTCTGTCATTGTCAGAATCCCCTGGTAGCAAAAGCACAGGGGGGCACAGAGAAAGGTGTTTTAACCTAATGTTCACCTTCGTTGAAATACTTAAGTACCACGTGGTTGCGTATGGGTACATACCTTATTCATGTGAAGTTGATTCAAGTCATAAGGCTCAGGAATTTATTGATTATTATTGTTTGTCCTCTCAAAAGAAATACATCAGAGCTTCATTGCGAAAACGACGGAAAGCGGTTTGAGAGTGACACAGCTCAATAACGGTGGCCTATAAAATGAACCCAACTTCATAGAAACGAAGTGATTTAAAGCAGCCAGGACAACTGGGTACGGTGACTTACAATCTAGGTTACACATTGTTACCGACCATCTCTCTTTTAAGTAGGAACTTTCGACAGACATGGGGATTCAGCGTATTGTACTGATGCCACACTTGAGATGAAGATGTTTGGCGTGGACTTGCCAAGCTAATGGTCGATAGTGTGAATTATTAGAAAATTTAGTTTACCCTGCTTTTAGCAGTATTCCAGCAATGTAACGGCGTGGAACACAAAAATGATCTTCACACTTTCAGAAATGGTGACTAGCCAACGCTTTAACTAATAGACTACCCCATTCAACCGTTGTCAACCATGCTCCGATGGTGATTTTAAAGAATTTAAAACATCCAGAATTTTCCACTGATGATATGGCCAAAGTGTAAAGGGCAAGTTCACACGAAAATAAAGCTTTCTTTCTTTTACTTTTTCATCATGAAAAGTATTTACCTAGTAGTTTCAGAGGCAAAACAATAAAAATATCACACGTATCTCATTTATTTTATTAATTAAATCGGTTCATATTTTTCACATTTACCGAGAGTTCTATTTCCATAATAAACACACCATGGCTTATGCCCCTTGCAATATGACGTCATTGTGCCAATTGATAAAGGAATGACGTCATAAGCGTATCGTTTTGCGATTTCTTGAAGGGTCAAGGGAAATTCTTCGGACCAGGCAATGTATCGGATGCCATGTTGTCTCACCATAAACTGGGACCTTATATCTTTTGCGTTGTGACAAGGCAAGGGCCCAGTTAAATTGGCACCAATTACGTCATGATCTAAGGGGGATACCTCAGGCCTGTTTAGCTCGGGAAACGAAGACCTCATAACGGCATGACATTTTCACACTTATTGTGAGCTCCCTACTTTGACTGTGAGAAAAATGAGTGTATATTTTCAAACACTAATACTAATTGTTTCTAAATTAAGAAAGAAAGTGATTTTTGTGTGTACACTTCCCCTTTAAGGTGCTTTGCACTCCCTACGTCTGCGATTTATCTTGACGGTGACATCTCTGTCTGCATCATAAATCGCAAAGAAATATATCTTTCATACATGATAACGTTTTGATTTCAATTTGGATGTTAGGGAACTTTATCACTTCTATGATATTTTAGATTCGTTATTATTAAATGTCTATACCGTCCTTTTTCAGATACGATACGAACGGACCATCTGGATACCATGTACAGTCGCCTAAAACACTATCTCACAGTCGTTCTTCTCTTCGTTATTCTGTTCGTCGTCTTCTCAGCATCAGGAGCTCTCCCCTTTGCAAGTGATCCGTTAGAAGCCATTGATCCTTACACCAAATATGGCACGATCCCAACACTGTTTATGTATGTTCTACGAATCCTTGCCTTGGTGCCGTTACCTATAACACTAAGCAACTTTATAGGGATCCTGGTGGGAAACACTCACCCAGATCCCCCGAAACTTATGATGTCACCCCTCTTTGGGCCCATCTGTTTCAGAGTGGTGACTCGTGGTACCTACCCAGACCTAGTGAAGAGGAATGTGCAAAGAAACGTAGAACTGTGTTCCAAAGTAGGTCTTACCAATTATATAATCGAGGTTGTAACAGACAGACCTATCTCCCTGGACGAGTCAATTAATGTGAGGGAGCTAGTTGTACCATCAATGTACAAAACGTCGCGGGGGGCCTTATACAAAGCACGTGCATTGCAGTACTCTCTAGAAGATGACGTGACGGTTTTGAACGACAGTGATTGGGTGGTTCATCTGGACGAGGAGACCCTCCTTACAGAATCTTCTCTGGCAGGAGTGTTGAACTTCATCCGCTCAGGACAGTACGAGTTTGGACAAGGCGTTATCACGTATGCCAGTGACTCTATTGTAAATTGGGTGACAACATTGGCCGATCTGCTGCGGGTTGGAGCCGACTATGGCACGTTGAGATTCACGCTCGGTGTGCTTCATAAGCCTGTTTTCAGCTGGAAAGGTTCGTTTATCGTAGCGAACGCCGGCGCTGAGAAAAAGGTTTCATTTGACTTTGGTCCAGAAGGAAGCATTGCTGAAGACTGTTTCTTCGCCCTCACGGCGTGGAAGGAAGGGTACAAATTTGGATACGTTGAAGGGGAAATGTGGGAAAAGTCCACGTTTTCTGTCATGGACTATATTCGACAGAGGAAGCGTTGGATTCAGGGTATATCACTCACTTTCCTCAGCAACCAGATTCCTTTCAGATACAAACTTGGGATCAGTGTAATGATTCTGTCATGGGTGGTAATGCCTGTGACGGCTCTTAACTTTATTCTTATCCCCCTCTTCCCCATTCCAGTGCACCCGTTACTTGATTTGTTGTTTGCCTTCACTAGTGGCGTTGTTGTGTTTCTCTTCATCCTCGGGGCGATCAAGTCCTTCTCCATTCGTAGACATGGAGCGCTAAAGTGTATGGTGTTGTGTGTCTTAACTATATTCATAGCGCCGTTGACTATGGTTCTGGAGAGCATAGGCGTGGTGTTAGCAGCTATATCAAGGAGAAGCTACGAGTTCCATTTAGTGAGAAAGGACTTAGAGACCGTTCTGACTATCCCTGTATAATAGCAACGAATACACTGATGCTACATGTCCGTGTCCTGTATTGTCTTCTTGTAGTCATTTCGGGGCAGTGGAGAAGTGTGTGTGTGTGTGTGTGTGTGTGTGTGTGCCTATCTATCTTTCTATCTATCTATCTATCTATCTTATCTATCTATCTATATACACATAGTAATAATTAAATAAGTGGAGTAAGATTTAACCCAGTTTTAATTGGCTAGCGCTTTCAACTCGTACCACGTACGAGTCTCATCAGGCTATAACTGAATAACGGACATGAAGTAGTAACATATATTTACGTGACGTCATTACATTTAGGAGAACTATGACGTCACAATACCGAGGTGACAATGGACAAATAACTTTACATTTAACTTAGGCGCGTATTTATGAATGAAATGTTGGTCTTTTTGAAACAATGTAGGTTCATGATCAAAATTTAGCTAATATAGCGGGAAAACTAAAAGGTTGCCGCTTCCACATGTATCTAAATGTTCACTGAGTGGAATCGTGCGGTTGTGTGGCTGCTTTATTTGTGAATGGTGAAGATTCATTCTTCTTTTTAATTTAAGTTCTGTCTTTCTGATATACTTTTCATCGCATCCACTACAAACAATCATGTAAATAACATTTCTAGTATCACAAGTCATATTTTGTTGTCCCCCGCCGCGCGAAAGCGCGAAGCGGGGGATATAGTATTCACGACCGTCCGTACGTCCGTCCGTACGTCCCACCTGTTTGTTGCCGCGATATCTCAAGAACTAAACACTGGATTGTCTTCATATTTGGAACTATGGTGTATATACAGACTCCGCAGACACCAGTCGGTTTTGGTGACCTTGACCCCATTTTCAAGGTCACAGCAGGTAAATCTGCTTTTGGAGTTGGAAAACGGTGTTGCCGCGATATCTCAAGAACTAATCGTAGGATTGTCTTCATGTTTGGAACTATGGTGTATATACAGACACCGCAGACACCAGTCGGTTTTGGTGACCTTGACTCCATTTTCAAGGTCACAGCAGGCAAATCTGCTTTTGGAGTTTGAAAACAGAGTTGCCGCGATATCTCAAGAACTAAACACTGGATTGTTTTCATATTTGGAACTATGGTTTATATACAGACTCCGCAGACACCAGTCGGTTTTGGTGACCTTGACCCCATTTTCAAGGTCACAGCAGGTAAATCTGCTTTTGGAGTTGGAAAACGGTGTTGCCGCGATATCTCAAGAACTATTCGCAGGATTGTCTTAATATTTGGAACTATGGTGTATATACAGACACCGCAGACACCAGTCGGTTTTGGTGACCTTGACCCTATTTTCAAGGTCACAGCAGGCAAATCTGCTTTTGGAGTTGGAAAACGGTGTTGCCGCGATATCTCAAGAACTAATTAATCGCTGGATTGTCTTCATATTTGGTATTTTGGTGTATATACAGGCGGGGGACATTTCGTCACTTCTGTGACAAATACTTGTTTTACAGTAAATTTAGTGTCCTTTGTAATTTGGACTGAACAGCCTTCAATCATATTGCTGCAAGTAAGGGATATTACGTTTTGTATGATACGGGTGACATGATCCAAAATCTAAATATTGGTGCGTATCAGTATCTTTATAAAAGATATCAGTTTGTACAAATCTCCCAGATATTAAATTGATTCTTACATCGAGAAAGGTTAAACTGGACTCGCTTTTTTCCAAAGTGAAATTGAGTGACGCATTAAGTGAATTTAAAATTTGATGAACAGCTGTAAGTTGACTTTCACTGGTTTTTAATATGATAAAACAGTCTTCTAAAAACCTTTTCCATAAATATTCAATTTGTTCTTTCATAGATTCATCAAGAGTATCTCTCACCTTATCATAAAACATATTCTCAAAAATCCAAACACAAGGGTTGCATAAGTAGGGGCTACCTTAGTACCCATGGCTACTCCTTTCTTTTGTGAATAATAAGATCCATCAAAATATAACATGTTATTGGTAATAACCAACTTCAATGCATCAATGATAAACTCATCCGAAAATCTATCTGGTATTTCATGGCGGTACAGCTCTCGGGTCCTCCCACAAATGGTCTAAATGGTAAATCTTCGGGATTTTCAATAGATATAACTTCACAATTTGTATCATTAATTTCCTTTTGACTACATTTACTTTTATGTACTTTGGGTAGGCCATAAATATTAACGGTTTTAGGTTCAAAATTGGTAAGATAGTCCTTTTCTTTGTCTAGAATTTCGTCATCATACTCATCTAACAATTTCTTAACCTTATTCTGGAGAGATTTTTCTTCTGTTTTACTAGAATATTGATCATCATTTAAAATGGACATTATCTTTCTTTGATAAAATGATTTATTCATAATAACAATAGCACCCCCTTTATCGGCTTCTTTAATAACGATGTCTGTATTATTTTTAAGATTAGTAAGGCCTTTCAATTCACATTCAGATAGGTTTTGTTTTGTTTGTTTTACATGAATAGGAGCACTTTCAAGTCTATCACAAAAGTCTTCCAAATATTTTTCTCTCCTGCGTGGAGGTATAAAACTGGACTTATTTTTCACCAAATTTTCACCATTCTTCTTATTGCCTGCGTCAGCATCCCATTTAACGTCGTCGTCCTCTTCAGGTTCAAAATATTCAGCCAGTCTCAGTTTCCGAGTAAAGTTCTTTAAGTCTGTTTTGATAGCCTCCGGATTTGGCGTAGTTGTAGGTGTAAACTTTAAACCTTTCTTCAGTAAACTGACTTCATTTACACTGAGGGGATGACAAGACAGGTTTATGATTTTAGGATCTTTTATGTGATTCGCTGCCTTTTCTACCGTGGGAGTTTTGGCTTTTCGTGGAAACTGCCTCTTCCTAAAAAATATTTCTTGATTGCATTGCCGATGTAGGTAACGTTGTCACCATCACACTTGTTTCCAAACGATTTGTTTTTATAATCACGTCCTGGTCCGTTGGGGCCCCGTTGTCGGCCATACGATTTAATATTCTTTAGTTTATCCCCACCTTTGTATCCATTACTGATGCGCCTTCGTATCTCTTCTTGTGAAAAGGGGTTGCAGTTGTGAATGAACTGGTTCAGAATTCCCAACTGCAACTGCAACTGCATCGGCAAAGGTTTTCCTGCATTTAACAGCTTTTGACTTGTTGTTATTTGTCTTTGACATTTTTATCTGGGATGCTTGATTCCTCATCACACCGTGTTTATTAACAGATGCAGGAAGGATGTGATCTGTTTGCTTCTTATTTTTGAAGAAACTGTTCCCATATCTTTCTTGATATCTCAGCAACCAGTTTTCTTTTTGTCGCCACTTTTCAAATGCGTTTTCTTCATCTTTGTTGCAATAATCTTTCCAGATTTTAATAAGTTTATCAAGTACATGCACTGAATTTCTTCTATGTAGCAATTCCCGCATATGTTCATCTGTGTCATCAAACATCCGCGTTTATTTGCATCAGCTGAATGTTACTTCGAAATCTCTGAACCGCTAGCTTGATACGAATATCTTTTGTTTCATCACTCTCGCCTTCTATTGGTCGAATGCGATATTTAAGAGGCAGCATAATGTGTTCTTCATTCAACCACGTTTCATAAATGATGCAGTTGTTTCTCACATTTAGATAGTTCCAAAAAGCTTTACTCCGTGCATTACGGATAGATTTCCACAGGTGTTCCATTAACTTCCTCTGTCTATATGCTTTTCTTTCTACCGTAAGATTCTGTATTTCTGCAATGTACGGATTTTGAATGGGCTCACCTTTATTGTCTTGAGGATGTCCAACTGAATCCCGTGAATTCGGCGATTCCATACGGGTGCCTACGTGTTCACCCTTCATTGTGAATGCTAAATCTGTGATTAGCTCACTTGTGATGTTTCGTTGTTGTTTCATCTGTGTTTCCTTTGCAACCGTCAATAAATCTTTCAACAGTTCGTTTGTTGTTTCAACTTTTCCAGAAAGCACAGTGATCTTACCAATTTTGAACCTAAAACCGCTAATTTTTATGGCCTACCCAAAGTATATAAAAGAATATCCCGAAGATTTACCATTTAGACCAATTGTGGGAGGACCCGAGAGCTGTACTCAGCGTCTTAGCAATTTCATAGATATTATTCTTAAGCCTTTATGTAAACATGTAAAAAGATTTCTCATATTAAAAACCAGTGAAAGTCAACTTACAGCTGTTCATGAAATTTTAAATTCACTTAATGCGTCACTCAATTTCACCATGGAAAAAAGCGAATCCAGTTCAACCTTTCTCGATGTAAGAATCAATTTAATATCTGGGAGATTTGTACAAACTGATATCTTTTATAAAGATACTGATACGCACCAATATTTGGATTTTGGATCATGTCACCCCTATCATACAAAACGTAATATCCCTTTCTGTCTCGCAAGACGTATTTGTACCATTGTTTCCAGGAATGATGTTAAAACTACCCGTCTTGCTGAACTTAAGAGTTTCCTACTGCATCAAAAATATCCCGCAAAGCTAATTGAAGATAGCACACAGAAGGCGCTAAGTATTGAGCAACTAAAACTGAGAGAAAAATCTGAAGAAAACAATATGGGGAATAAATTAACTCTAGTATCTACCTTCAACCCTAATCATGAAAAAACATTATCCATGGTTCAACAATACCTGCCTATTTTGAATCAAAGTGTTAAAATGGCGAAGATATTGAGCAAATACAAAATTATCAACAGCCAAAGACAACCCAAAAATCTTAGAAAGATTTTGACAAGTTCTAAATTTGATTCTGTTGTCATCACTCCACAGGTTTCTAAGTGCGATGACAAACTTGCCTAACTTGAAGCAATATAAATGAAGGCTGTTCAGTCCAAATTACAAAGGACACTAAATTTACTGTAAAACAAAATATGACTTGTGATACTAGAAATGTTATTTACTTGATTGTTTGTAGTCGATGCAATGAAAAGTATATCAGAAAGACAGAACTTAAATTAAAAAGAAGAATGAATCTTCACCATTCACAAATAAAGCAGCCACACAACCGCACG